TGAAACTACGCAGTGTTGAAAATTTTATAATAGTTACAATATTTGTAACAAGATTGCTCCTGTTTGGGAGAAACCCTAATTTTCACTAAACGTCTATGAGCTAATTTTTGACGAACTAATTCAAACAAATGTTGTGATAGTTTCTGCTTCTGTGATAGTTTCTGATTCAAATTTTGTGATAGTTTCTGATTCAAATTTAAATGTTTCATGCACGCGCTATTTTAAGTACTGACTTATATAAATAGCATTAAATAAAGCAATAATTAGATCAAATTGTGTCTTTTAGTTATTTTGGGATTTTGAGACGACATTTGCCTCTTAATTGCTCATCGCACGAAAAAAATTGCGCGTTAATTGTCATTAATTGGCCAAATGGTAGTTTTTAAACCTCCAAATATTTTGAAAACATGATCACTTTTGAAAAATGTCTGAAAAAAATGTCGAGCACAAACGTTTCGCCATATTTTTTGATAGCTTTATTAGTTTTAAAGAAAAAAAATCAAAAAAGTATTTTTTTCCCGCTTTTTTCTGTTTTTTGGTAACCACAGAGATTAACTAAATCATTACAAAAACACTCTGATCTGAAGTGAGTTTTGAGAGGTGAAAGTATCAACCAATTACTTTTTACACTATTCTCTTTTGAAGATTTGAAACAACCTGCCGCAGTATCAGCCTGATTGACTAGGCTTACAAAGGTCGTAGCTTTCGACTTTCAAGTCTCATATTACTCATAAAAACAGTCACAATTGATATTTTTTTCTAAATTTAGTCGCTTTAACATCATTTGAAAAACATGACAGTGCAGTGAAACAAAATAAATTATTTAAAAGAAACCAGATGTCATTACAAACGGCGTAGGCTGAGATAAGGAAGGCATAGAGAATCTTTGATTACATTTCTCTCTAGAATCGACCTTTCTTTTTTATAAATTAAAACAAAATTGTTGGTCTACCTAGTAAGTCGATACGTAATTTTGAACCTGAGAGCGATATCAGTGTAGAGATGGCTACTTCATTTAGATTAAACGCCCTAGTAGGATAAACCTTTGATACCCTTTGGTTCAACTGATTAAAAAGAAGGGTTTGATTCAAGCTTTTCTGAAACAAAAGATGCGGTCATGAGAACCCCAATGTGATAAATTCATTCATCGGGGTTCACCATTTCTATTTAAAAAAACAGCGCTTACAGTCATTTGAAAGGTAGACAAGACAAATTGATTTTTTCATTGATTCGAATGTAAAAAAAAGCATTCATTGTGTTGTCCTAATTTTATGAATTCAGAGCTTCGGGTTAAAATAAATTTGTAAGCCTGCAACAAAACGAGTCCTGACACACATTTGCCCTAATTTGATAAGGTGGTATAGCCAAGGGCTGAGCTGGGATTTTTGCAAAAGTAGGAGCTATCGTATTGTCTAAAAGAAAAGCAGAAAAAAATTCGTTATTTTTGAAACATTTTATTTGGTTTCTTAAGCCACAAAAAGGCCCCAAGTTGACATCAACAACATGCCAAGACGGTTCCGGGCACTTTGGTCAATTTTTGCCACACGTAGTTCTTTGCGGTTCTTTGAGAAAAAAACAAAGTTTGAAAAGTTTTCTTGCATTTTTCAGGCATCTGCTTCAACTTGTGCAACCAGAATGTGGGTGTTTTGATTCTATAGTAACCTTTAGAAATCGTTCAGTTCGGTCGATTTCGACTGAATTTAGCCACATGGTAAGAAAGAGGTGGTTAATTATGAGAGATGTTAATGCCCTCAAAAAGGTGCGTTTGCAACTCGGTCTTAGAAAGAAGCCAAACAAACTTAAAAAAAATTATTTTTAAACATTACGAAGTCCAAAACCAAACTGTGTATTAATTCGGACTTTGAAGAACTAAACTCTCGCCAAATAGTTGTGCTAAAGAAAAGAAAAAATCCTGCTTCAGAATTCAGAATAGTCCCAATTTTATTTCCCAATATTTTTTTAAAACTCTTACCAAAAAAAAGTGTTCAATTTTAAGCACTGCAAGCAGCCTTTTGTTTCACATTGTGTTAAAATTTTTATCAGAATGAGGAATTTAAACTCAAGTTTTTCAGAAAGAAAACGAACGCCGTCGAAAGTCGAAATTCTTCCGCCGAAAGTCAAAACAGTACTCTGAAAATCTAATTAACTTGATCCTTCATCTTACTTCAAACCTAGCACATGACAGAGTATTCTTTGAAATAAGGAGGAAAGGTTCGAATGTGATCTTTTCAACGGTAATTGGGTCTTAGTTCAAAGAATAAAGGAATGCAATTTGGATGTAATTGCTAATCAGCGCGGGAGAAGAAACAAAATATCGGAAAAATAACAGCAAAAAATCCCTCTTTTGCAGCATTAATTAAAGAGAATTGTGTCAAAGAGATCTTGTAAAAGTGAAATCAAACAAAAAATAAATAATTTTTTTGAGGAACCATTTGATCATCTAAAAGTCATGTTTAAATACAGATTTTTCAATATTGCGCGTTAATTATTACCAGTTGGCCAAATTAGTTATTTTAAATCCCCATAACTTAACAAAAATTAATTCAATTCTTTAAACTCAAGATAATTCTTTAAACTTTTGTAATGCATAGAATATGAATCCTAAAAATGGATGAATGTAAAAGCAAACCAAGCATAAGTATACCGTCAGTTTCTTCGAAAGTCGGAACTAAACACAAACGTACGTACAAAACCTTTATGAGTTTTATTCTGACATATGAAGATCAAAATTTTCTCGATGTTATAAAAATTCTCTAAAAATAAATACAATCTAAAACGATTACCGAGTAAGCAAAGCAAATCCTAGCAGAGTAAAGAAAAAGTTGGATCAATGATGAACGTTATGTCAAAACAGTAAAAAAAAAGTTATAGGCTTGAATGACCCAAAAACCCATTCCGCGTTTTGGTTGAAATTGGTAAAAATAGATTGTATATGAGGCTTCTGTTTTTTTTGGCAAGTAGATACGTAGGTTTTTAGCTATAAAATTGACACTCATTCTTTCCAGACAGTTGCGTAAGGCGTTCTTCCTCGAAAGCTTCAGTGGGCCATTAGTTATTCAAAAAAAGTAGTCTAAAATGTTTCTAGGGTTCTAATTTTTATAGTGCATCGATTCTTTTTTTGTTCCAACTTTAGAAGAAAACGGAATATTTATGCTTGGCGTGGTTTTTTGCTCAGTCAATTTTTGGCGATCAAAAAAATATTTTTAACACCAAATTTTATGCCCCAAATGAAAATATCAAATCCTTGAATCAAAAGGTCAAGTATTTAAGCTCCGATGACTTTTTGCTAAGTTCTGGGAGTTTAAAAATAGTTAATTTGACCATGCTCTGGAATAATTTGTTCGCACTTTGAAATTTTTTTTCATTAAGCTGAAAGCGTAACGCGAACTATCCCACAACAAAATCGTTTGAAAATGAATTAAGGCAAGCTAGTTCTTCGTACTAATTTGTGCGACTTATATTTTCACACTTGATCATCAATATTGTCCAGAATTTGTAGTTTTTCAGTATTTTTTCTACAAAAAACTATTGGAGAACGAGTAAAGGGCAGACGGGTCATTATAAAACTTGTTTAAACAAGTCTAACAAGACTGCTCGTATATCAGGGCGAAACTCTAAATGTTCCGACTGCCCCTTAAGCATTATCGAATAGTTTTTGGGAAAAGAAAATAATGAAAAGCTATACCTTTTGGATAAAATCAAAGTGTAAAATTTGAGTCTTACGAAATTACTACGACCAATTAGCTAGCCTCAATTCAATTTGGAACGATTTTGTTGAGCGCGATAATTCGCCACGCATAAATAATTTGCTTCACGCTTTCATCATTATGAATAAAATTTTGAAAATGCGCATAAGTTAGTCAAAAGCATGGCCAAATTTGCAACTTTCAAACTCCCTTGCAAACAATTTTCAATTTCAGGGAGTCAATATCATCAATGGGGTATAAAAATTTTTGACCAAAAAGTATAATTTCGATCACCGAAAAGTGACTGAATAATAAAAAAACCGCCCCAAACATAAATATTCCGTTTTCTTCGAAAGTCAAATGAAATGGACAAACTAACAAATATAACAAGTTTATTTTAAGAAATAAATCTACCACTCATGTAGATCCGCCCGTATCTTTTTCAGCACGGTACTAAGTATGAACGAACAGAGGTTAACTTAGAAGTTGGATAGGCGTGATAAAGTTCATGGTAAATTAAAGAAATCGATTTCGATTTATATCTGCGTGTCATCTGTCTAATCCGATGGTTTAGTTCACTTCTTTTTCATTAACTGAGAACAATCTCGAACTAAATTAGAGGCTCTGAAAAATAAAGCAAAATCCACTTTTTCAGAAAGTTTTTCGTATCTATTTAACTATGCCTACTCTTTGCAGTCATAGATATACAGATGTTTGACTAATACGTTTTCAATATTTCTTTTGTTTTCTTTAGAAATTTTTAGTTGGCTAAAAAGTAGACCCGGGTATTTCTTGGAGTGTTAGAGGGGAAAATGCGACAAATAGTTGTATTTTAACAAACAATTAATCTCAAAAAACACCGGTATACATAATTGAAACAATTTTTATCAGTATTTTTCCATGCTCGGAAAATTCAGCTGGTCTAATTCTTATACAATTCCAAACTCATTCAAACTGCATGACAATATCATAAAGAAGTATTTGTTCATTCATATCATTTTTTAGGTCTCTTTAACTTTTTCACTCCCCCCTTCACACACACACACACATCTTGCAAAGGGGGAGGGGGAATCGTTACTATAGATACAAAATGCTCATAAATGCTTAACCGTTGAATTAGTTCTTTATAGGGGTGCCAATTTGTTACTAAGTACCATAGCCGAGGGAGGATAGTTAAACTTAACTTTTTAAAAATAGAACATATGATTAGCCAGTTCTATGATCAAAAGACGCCAGTCACTGATCGAAGCCATTTTTAAATAGATTATTAAACCCATCGCTCAAATTAAAGTTTCTGTTTTTTTTGTTCTGAAGACTACCTGGATATGATATTGCCCTGATGCACGTGAACATCTGGACTACTCTGGCAGTGTGTGTTCAGAGGCTGGCTGCCATCAAGTGGCCCTTCGAGTACTCCCAGATGTTTTCCAGGCAGAGATGCATTCTCATAGTAAGTACAAATCAATATAGCACGGACGAGGGGACGCCCTCCCCCTTCTCAGTTCTGGCTTATCAAATTTTTGCGAAAGGTCTGAAAACTAAGGTTTTTTTTAGAATTTTAGAGCAGCTCAAAAAATCAAATCAGCTTAAAAAAAAGTTTTGAAAAATTTTTTTTTTCGAAAAAATTGTAACTCATGCTTTTCAGGTAAAATTCATCTCGTCATCTTGGTCGACCTAAAAAAAAAAAAAAGGTCGACAAGTATGAAGAAAAGGTAGTTTTATTCTTACTTGTTTTCTCAAATAAAGTATTTTTGAGGCTTAGAACATCGAATATACAACGTCAACTTATTTTTTTGAGAAACTTTTGAGAAGTTTTTTTTGCTTGCTTCAAACTTATAGATTTGATTTAAAAATTGAAGTACACAATTTTTTTTGGCTCAGAAATATTGAAACAAACATATTTGTGAAAAGATATTGTTACAACACAGCAATTCACACAAAATTGGGTTTTTATATTATATTTAGCGCAATTTCAAATGTGATTATCATTTTTCAACTCAAGTTCTAATGTACAGGTTAAGTTTTAGTTTTTTTGACTGATTCCTAACCTTGAAGTTATTCAATTTGGTATATATAAATATATCGAAATTTTTTTTAAATGAATAAAAGTTTAGTCTCAACAACCGCAAAGTTTTTCTCAAGGTCACATTTTTGCAATTTTAAAATAATTTTAACTGATGATCAAGCTTTTTTTAAGAATTCAAACTCGGCGAGCGATGAAGTTTGGCCGAAGTTGGGGCTTTACGACTCGTGTCCAAACTTTGATAATAATCATAATAAATTGTTTTTAGGCTCATAATCAGACAAGTACAACATTTTGGTGCAATGTATAACCCAATGTGAAGCTTGAGGGAAAGTATTTAGACCAAATGGTCAGTTTTTAAACGTCGAGAATTTTTTCAAAATTTTCTCAATGCTGACAATGTGAAAACTATTTTGACCAACAAGTTGCGCTTGTCTGTCTTTCCTTCATATTCAGTTCATTTTATTTGCATTTGTGCCCTTGCAGAATAATCTTAGCGTTAGAAAGATTTATGGTTCAAAAATCACATTAGAAGGAGGCTTATAAATATTCACTCACGCTGGAAAAATATCCCGCAACCCTCGAAAGCTTAACTTGACTTTGAGTTAAAATCCTACCTTACCCCCTTTAAAAGTAGTTAAGAATGGAGGGGGGGATGGGATACCGTGAGGCGTGATAAATTGATTATTTCCGTCGTCAATTGAATCAATTGAACTTTACGATGCTCAAAAATTAATGCACTTTTTCATTAGTTTTTAGCTATTTGTGGCGCTAGAGTTTTAAAAGACTGGAATGAATTTTGCGCCAGTCACATCAATCAGACTTTGAAAGGTATTTTTAAAAGTCTGATCAGATGAAAAATGGTAAAAACAGGTAAATTATGCCCTTTTGGTTATGTTTCATTCTCACATTTGCATTTTCTTGAGGTGCGCTTCCTGTTATAAAAAGCAAAAGTTAGAGCTATTAAGACGGAGTGGCGAGAGAATGGTACACAAAACCAAAAACGGTCGTGTTAAAAATTTAAAAAAAAAAGAATATCTGTAAAAAAAAATAGTTTCGGAATCTTGGCCAAAGTTTTTTGTTCTTTTTATGGAATTTATTAATTAAAATTTCAAAAGATAATCCGAGTGTAATTAAAATACAAATTCTTTAAAAAAATTTTGTAAGTAAATGCATTTATCTAGCAAGAATATTATAAGAATTTGAATTTGGATGTAAAGTTTTTATAAGCATGTGAATATAGGTGTAAGATTTTTATAAAAAAATGAATTGGTATTCAAGAATTTGAACAGTAATTTTATCCGGATATACGTACCTCCAAATGATGCGCAAATGATGTACAAGCCATGGAGAAGCTTAAAATAATGCTCTAGGGGTAGCTATCAGAAAGCGTAAGTAGCTTTCAAGAACTCTCGCCTGTCTTCGAGCTACCTTACCTTGCGAGCTGTAACAAAGGAGACCATGAATGCACACTAGCCTCTGAAAGCATACTTAACAGTACAAACATCCATAAACATAAAAACATCAGAACATTTTTTAAAATCCTAGGAGTGCACCGAAGCGAGGCCCAATATATAATAAGATTAGGAATATACAAATTAAATAATAGTATCAATGAATGATTTCCTAGCTTCTCACGACAGCACAGAAACTTCCGACGACACACGATTAACTTTAACCAGAGTAATTAAGATAAAGGTCGGATTTTTGCTCGCAAAGCTGTAAAACAGTTTGCAACAGCAATACTAACCATTAACTAATACTCGTTGCAAGCTTACCTCAATGATCGTTGATGCAAACATTCTGGCAAGAAAATTTTCCAGAAAGTACTTAATGTTCCTTCATATGGCCTGCAAGATTTATAAAAATTTTTGAATTATTGTTGCTAAAATTTCACTCTACTTGCAAGAAGTAGAAAAATTGCTGGTTTCTACAGAATAATTATTGTTCAGACCATTTGAAAAATTCGAGGTGTGTTTTAGTTTTTTCAACGCAAAATCAGCCACGAGGAATAATCTTTGGACAGGATCAAATGCTGTGCATTTAGTCGTGATTCGAACGACATTAAACATTTTTCAAAATGTTTTCTCAATTTTGAGAAAACCTGGTTTAAAATTTGTGATTTTTGTTTATTTAAATTGCGAGCGAAAGAAGCGAGCGAGAAGGCTTACAACAGCTTATTTATGCCTAACTAAAGCTATGAAAACTTAGTTTTACGCAAATAAAATTGATTTTTGTAGTTTTTAGTGCCTTTTAATCTTCAAAAAAAATTTCGGCAAAAAAATTGAAAAAAAAAACGTTTTTTAAGTTTTTTGAACATTTTTTCGATTTTTGTTGTTTTTCTAGTCAATTTTCTACAATTTTTTTGTCCCGTTTGCCTCTATTACTATGACTGTCAAGTATGTCAAATTTTTAGTTTTACGTCAGATTCTTTAATCGCACCACGCAGAAAAAATACACAAACTCGAAAAAAACTTTTTGTAGTTTTTGAAAGACTTCGATGGTCGGAACATTCTGTGCTACTTGCGCAGTAACCGGTTAACCTGGTTTTCTCCGTTATCTTGGATAATCGTAGAGGTAATTATAGTTTTACCAATTCTCCAGCATTATATTATCATAGGCTTTTACCGGGAATGGGTGTTTTCACCATGGCGCAATTAACACTGGGAAAACTTTTAGAACTAGTTTGATAAAAGTTAGCTTGAATAAAAATTGTTTGATTGGAGAATCGGACTTTTTCACCTCTTATTTATCTTAAAATAAACAAACCTAGTTGAAAAAATATAAAAATAAGCTCAAGCATTTGCTTGAAAAGCATATATTATTGTTCATCTCTAAGGATTCTTCGTAGTTATTGGAATGCAAATCTTGCAAGATTCTTGCAAGTATTGCATTCTCAAGAAAAACCAATGGAAAACTCTTAGGTTGTAAATTCGTGAAAAATTTTGTTACATCAGTTGGGTCTTCTTACTAATTTCGCTAGTTTCTTAATTTGGTAACTTTGTAATATTGAACGAATAAAAGTAGAGAACAACTCACTGATCGTTTTGCTTGGTTTGGTTAACAAAAACGCGATCACTTTATTATTTAGCCTGTTTCAAACAAGGACGAATTTTGTAAAGGTTGTCGTTTTTCCCTGGAGTTTTTTCCTGTGTTTTTTCCGGTCTGGGTGGAAATCTGCAGCTTGTTTGAACTAAATTCGAATAGTTTACCAAGAGTTCTATACTTTTGGCCAATTCGGCTCATTTTCCGGTCCACCTAATATTGTGAACAAAAACATTTTGAGACGGTGCTGAAATTTGATTGGCTTATTTGAGCCAATCAGGTTGAAGCAGAATAGTTTCAGTTCAGAAACATTGTTTTATGGGCGGAATAAATAAAAAAGACTCCACCATAAAAAAAAATTCTTACTTCCTTGATAGTTACAGAGGAATTTAGATCTTGCAAGAATTTGCATTCCAAATACAGAGTAAAATTCTGCAAGACTCTTTCAGGTCTATCGCAACGGTTTTATTCTTTCACATGAATCTTGCAAGATTTGCACTTCAAAACCGTGGGTAGAAAACGCATTAGTTAAAACGCCTTTTAGAGTCAATTTTAAGCGCTCACGATAAACAAATAATCAAACCGTAAATTTTTGACGCCCATTCGGCTTTTATTGAAACTTATCAACTTGGTATCAACTTAGCATGAGCTTTTGTTTTGCACCTGAAGTTTGACGAGAAAACATTTGAAAAACTAAAGTCTGTATTTCTGAAGGATTAGCTGTCAAACTTAAGTATCCATAGAATTTCGGTTTTTAAACAATGATTACTGATTAATGCCGCCTGCCAAGTTGTAAATTGTAAGTAATACTGCTTTCACAAAAATGATATCTATCGCATTAAAAAAGTGAACTAAATCTAGCAATATGGATAGAAATCCTAAATCCAATGATGAATAGGGATAAAGTTGTACTTTTTTTAGCGCAAAGTGATGCATTCTTAGGCTGAGTTTGCAATTAATGTCAAACATAGAATACATTTTTTTTACGTTTAGTTCGCGGTAGATACATTTTGATTGCGCCAGATTTTGAATAATTAAATTTTGTGCCAGAGTTATTTATTGTGGCGGAAAAAGTGAATGGAAATAAGTGACATCCGTGTAAGCTTGTTCCTACATTGTATATTATTGTGCCATGCTACCATTGTAATGTTACATTAGTGGTGTATATGGCTCATTTACTTTCATCCTAAAGAAAGCAGAAAATATACGCAAGCTGTAAATCAGAATAAGTTTATGTGAAATATTTTCAAGTTCAACTTTTCATCATGAGCAAACAAAAAATTCATGCGTCACATTACTCAAACAGCCAACAATTTTTAAAAATCATTTGTTTTGGGTTAAAGTTAGCGTTTCCTGGTTTTTGAGTTTTTGGTTTCAATTATCCGGACGCTTTTAGTTGTCAGCACTTAAATTTATCATTACCAAAATCCATAAATAGGATGTTATAGACTATTTTCAGGAAATTAATTTGGGTAATTTAAAACCCCCAAAAAGACTATTAAAAAGAGTAAATTCCGAGACAAAAATTCTAGGTGCCAATCAACCCTTCTAGTAATTAACACCGCTTTCACCCGTGTAAACTAATGACACAAAATTTTGAGACATGCCTCCCCAGGGATAACAAAAAATGCTAGTCATACAATTCTTATTTATGGAAAAAAAAAACAATCCATGATATTCCATTGAAAAAAAAATTGTATGAAAACAGCATTTTTTTCATAAAAGTAATTGTGTGACAAGAGTTTTTTCCATAGATGTTAGTTTCGCTTGATATATTTGTGTTTTGCACTGAAACCCAAAAACCAAAGGTTTCTCCAGATGGAACAACCAATAGGTTAAGCGGCAACAAAATCGCTAGATAAACTACGTATTGAGATATGCCAACTTAGCTGATCTGTAGAATTTGACAGAATATTTCAAGAAAAAAATAGCAATTTTTGTAAATAACGTCGAGGCCTCTATTCTCAAATCTCCAACGATGGAAGATGTGTCCTAATTTTTAGTCATACATAGGCTTTCATGTTATAATCTCAAATCAAAAATAAAAATTCAGACATCATAAAAAACCTTTTTTGTAATTTTTTATTCTTCTGTGTAAAAATATTGAGTCTGGACTACGTTACAGGCTAAAATTTGAAAATTTTGCATGCGAAAAATTTTTGGAAAATGTTTGTATGTTAATGAGAGCAAAAACTTTTTCCTCATTTTTTGAATACTTGTCCCCTCTTTGTACTATTTTCCAAAATCCATTTTTGGTGATGGATCCTAAAAAAATTCTTAAGGCGCCTTTGGCGCCAATATTTATTAATTTTGAGGGGGAGCGCGCGCAGAAAAAACGCGTTTTTTTGGTCAAAATTTTCCAAAAAATGCCTACAAACGCCTTCTTTGGCCTGTTTTTTTAAATTTTTGCCTGTGGCGCAGAAAGTTTGGCCAAAATATGGACAAAACAGTGCTGTGGGAGTGCTCGAAAAATCAATATGGTCGACCTACAGAAAACGTCGATAAAATTTTCCGACAATATTCGGAAATCCACCCCCCCCCCCTCGAGAAAATCCTAGATCCGCCCCTAATACAATCTAATTTATGGAAACTGTATGATAAACATTTTTTTTTCATGGACTCCATCAATGAAATTGTGCCACCAAAACCACTAAAAACAAATTATCTAAGCTATCGGCAACTTTTACAGCATACGGATGAGCACCACATGACTGATGAATTTGAAAGGTTAAAAGTTGAAAGGCTGAAACTTGGATCAAAAACGTGAGCCAAAAATAAATTTTGTCTTATCGTGGAAAACATTTACGAAAACCAAATCCAAATTGTAACGCTTTTTAAAGAATTTGATCAGAGTTTTAGGCAAATTTATCAAAACTTCCCTATTTGACGAATGCGATGTAGGAAAAATTCTGCATGTTTTGATAGTGCTTTCCCCAAATTTGGGAACTTTTTCAGCAGTTTCTTGCATCTGTACGATAAATCATGGAACAACTTATAATCTAACATATCATTCAAAAGGTTTTGTTGTCCTGAGCTTAAATAGCTTTAAAAAAATTTCACCTGTGATTATTTTTCGTAAAGTTATGGAGGTTTGAAGATTGCCATTTTGGTCAATTTAGGACAATTAACGCGCGATATTTAATCCGTCTAAGAAATTGTTCCAAATTGGTCAAAGGAAGCTTATTTGCCATAATTGATTTGTTACTAGGATTTTTTACTAGGACCTGATATGGCGTGTGGGGGATGATTTTTAAAGAAAATTTCAAATTTCAGAAAAAAAAATCATTTCAGTTTATTACATTTTATTTTTTTATGTTATTACTGCTCCAAAAACCTTAAAAGGCAGTCGGAACATTCAGGGGGCTTCGCCCTGACACGAGCAGTCTTGTTCAATTTTCGTAAATTTACGCGGTTTGAAAATGAAGCCAAATTTAGTTAATTTGGTATAAATATTGCCTGTAAAACTTCCAGCATTTTACAACGTGTATCAAATGGAGAAAATTAATCCAGCTCAAGCTAATTGATGCAAACTGTTTGTGGAAGCGAATTGATTTCTCCGAAACTCCACATTGCCATTTCCAGGAAAATAGCAAAACTCACCAACCTGATTTGTCAAAACGGTGCGAAAATCTCAAAACTTTGCGTCTTCTTATCAGTTCCTCCGATGCTCATCTCGCAAAAAAGAAATGCGATTCACTGAAATTTCGTGAAAAGCATTCATCTCTGTAGTTTTTGGGTTGACGCCTTTTTGAGTATGAAACCTGGATTGCTCACATTGTTCAAAAGTTGTGTTACTAATATTTTACAAACCTTATTTTGATTGTTACGTTGTTGAAATTATTATTTTTTCTATAACTATGTAATTATTATTGCTTCCATTGCTTTTGTGATTCTTCTAGTTTTTATTATTATCACGATTGGATTAGGTTGTGATTGTTTTTCATGCAAATTCAGATGAAACTGTGAAACATTTTGGTAAATTAGGCCATGAGGGGGGTCTTTTGAAAAGTGTCTCACTAGCTATTTTGTCAGTGTTTGGGAAAAAGCCATTTGGCGTCGCCTTCTGTCATAACCAATTTTTCTTTGTCAGTAAATTCAAGTAGAGACTATAAAAATTTAAACACTAAGTATTAAAGATGTTAAAATATTTTAAAAACAAAATTAAATTAAGTTGATTTTCAATTTTTTCAAATTTTATGTTTTTGTTAGTTGCCAAAGATTTCTTGCATATAACTGTCTTCGGATGCTTCTCAAGATTTGCACAGCAACCAACTTTTCCAGGTCAGATTAGTTTTTATATTGGATCACAAGTGATTGTTTCAGATGGGGGGAATTTGGGCTTCATCTGCAGTGGTGGGTGTTCCGATGGGGGTGTTCTACGAATACAAGAAAGTCGAGGTGCCCGTAGAAGAAGATCCACTTGCACCCAGTTTTGCCTGTTTTATCAGAGGGTAAATTACACATCTTTTTTTTTGAAAAGTCGAAAGTTGAATAAAATGTTCAAGTTTTCTACAATTTTAGCTGCTGGCTCGGGTTTCCATGATGATGCAGTCAATAATGAAATGTCATTCTAAGGTTGCTCGCAACAACAGTATTTTATTTTGTCAGGTGGTCATACCGAGGCGGATACATAATTTTTTTTTAGCAATGCCGCAGATTTTCAACCAGTTTTCTATCTTTGGTGCCATTCCGCCCCCTTTCTTCCGGCGCATTTCCTTGTTTAAGCAATATGTTCCGGCTGCCTTTGAAGGTCTATGCAGCAGTAATAACATAGAAAAAATTAAGTGTTGTAAAATAAAATGGAAAACTTTTTTTTCTAAAATTTGAGATGTTTTGTAAAATTCATCCCCCAACGCGCTATATAAAGTACAAAAGGATAGATTTTGCTCCTTTTAGCAAATCAATATGACAAATAAGCTTCTTTCAACCAATTTGGAAAAATTTCTAAGACTTACTTTCAAATTTAAGCTCAAGACAATACATTTTGAATGATAATGGCTAAAATTCTGTCAAAAATGACTAGTTAAAAAGTCGAAATTTGTCTGAAGAAAAAAAACCCACCCGAGCACAAATATTCCGTTATTTTCGTTACGAAAGTCGAAACAACATGAAAGAGCGCATTTGAATTTAAATTTTAAAATTTCAATTGCTTCAATATTCAAAACATTTTGAGGTATAATCCTCAGTTTTTTCGTTTGTTTATGCAGATTCAACGAAAGACTAGCTTTGTTGCTTGAAAAAATTATCATCAAATTTTTCTTTCTTAAATGTTGTTATTGAAGTCTGAAAGGTAAATAAAAACACGGGGCTCTTTTTCATTTTACCCCCCACCTCATTCAAACATGAATTTTATGGTCTAACGAGTGATTTTACAAGGTTAATTATGTAGACCAAATATGCTTGTTATGGCCTAATTAGTCTGCATGTCAATTTTCACGACAATCGGACAAAATGAACAGCAACTTCAAATATAAAAAATTTCAGGTGGGGGGGGGGGGGGGGAGGAAAAAGAGCCAAACACGTTTTTTAGGTGCCTGTCAAAAACACAAATGAATGTTCTCAATTTCAATTATCATTCTCGATTCCATAAGCTACGAGATTTTTAGAGGTATAATTAGACCATGAAATTTTAAAATTGCCTTAAAAACACTCGTATCATCCATATAGTAATTTTATTTCGTTTTTTTGTCCACTACAAGGATTTCCTCTTCAGGAATTACTTAAGCTGGCGCTTCCAGTCAAATCTGTAAAACTTCATGCTCTATTTAAACTCTTTGTTTTTTTTTCAAATTTATTGCTAAGGAAAGCAATAACGATGACTTCGTGAATCAAAAATATAATCATTTTTCTTACTTACAATTGAAAGCGTGTGTTTTTGATCCGACTTTCGAAAGAAGTAAAGAATATTATTGCCCGGGGTGGTTTCTTTTATTCAGACCAAGTCTTTAAAAATTCAATTGAGGCAGACTAATTGATCTTATTAATTCCATACTCAGCCTGATTCTTAATATGCAGCCTGAAATTCATAGTTTGTCATTGTTTCATTAATCAAAGTTTATTCGAGACCAGTTTATGGACAGTTGGAACATTCAGGGCTTTGCCCTGATACGAACAGTCTTGTTTTATTATAGTTCAGACTTGAATTTAATCTGTTCAGGGAAATTTTGACAGATAGCTAGTTTTGAGCAACATAATCTTTCGCTACTTCTGCAAAAATAGGAAGTAAGGAATTAGGTTATAACTCTTTTGAAAGGAAACTAAATTTAAAATAGAAATTCAAATGTTAGGAGAGGAAGTGGAAAATTCCGCTTTTACAATAGTTTGCTATGAATCAAAAACAAATTTATAAAATAAATCAAGGTAGTTTTGAGGTCTATACTTTTGTAGTACTACCTCACTGCATGTTCAGTCAATTTGTTCTCTGAGTCCAAAATGCTCATCTTAGAAAAAATATCGCTGTTTTCTTCCGGTGTCTTACTTCAGAATTGGTAAATCATTTTCCGAAAAAGTTACGAGGCCAAACTGTTTTTGGATACGCTTACGGTTTTGGGCGTGAAGGAAGTTGATATCCAGAGACAAGTTTTTTAACGTGTGCCAAATTGTTAACGGAACATACTTAAAAAAACTTTTGCGAAATCCACAAGCAAAATTAATAACGTAAAAATTATCGGCACATTTGTGTCGCCCGAATCTGCAATGAGCGAACTTTCTGCAAATTTCGCGATTGTAAGTTAAATAAACTCAACACTGCTCGTATCAGGGCAAAGCCCTGAATATTCCGACTGCCTTTTAAGGTCTATGGAGCAGTAATTGCATGAAAAAATTAAATGTAAAAATGGGAAACTTTTTTTTTCAAAATTTGACATTTTTTGTTAGAATCATCCCCCCACGCGATATATAAACTAAGAAGTGATAAACTTCGCTCCTTGTAACAAATCAATTATGGCAAATAAGCTTCCTTCGACCAGTTTGGAACGATTTCTAAGACGGATCAAATTTCCGCTTACGCGTTAATAGCGCGAAATATATCGCGCGTTAATTGTCCTAGATTGGCCAAATGGCCCTCTTCAAACCCCCATAACTTAACGAAAATTGATAACATTTAATTTCAGGACAACAATACTTTTTACATGATATACGAAAGTCGGAACAATAACATCATCGTGGCCATCAAGTAGAAATTGTATTGCTATGGTTTGATTTTTTTTTGATATCGTAAGTGTGCCTTATGGTAAGTAAGTGGTCAATTAAGAATTTGATCAAAGGTTATGATTATGATTGCGTATTTCTGATTGTATCTTTTAGGGGCGACCTTCAATTTCTGCTGACAAACATCACTGTGTACATAATCGATTTTCTGGTGCCAGCTGTTCTCGTCACTAAATACTACTGGGACTTCACAGTTGAGGTCAGACGCAGGTCGGGCGGGGGAGGAGGAGGCAATAATCAAACAGGGGGCAGTGGGCGAGGGACAGGGACAGGGGGACGTGTGAGCTACAGCGCCAGCATTCAGATACCTAACGGCATACCCCCCGCCGATTCTCAACCGCAAACAGTTCCAGGAAATCAATCGGCGGCTCACCCGCTGGCAAATAACCCAAATGGTGAGGAATCCATTTAAGCCTAATTTAAAAAGAAGTTTGACCCATAAATTGAAGGAAAAATTCATTTTGCTTTACAAAAGGACCTAAAAATAAATCAACGCCAATACGTAGTGCATCAAATTGGATTAAATCTAAATTACTCTGCTGTCTTAACAACTAAATTCAATTACTTTTGCAAGCTATAGCAGTCTGTCTATTTGTTGCAGCTTATAAACTTCATGCCTTTTCTGCAAATTTTCATTGAAAACTCAAATATGTTTCTAATCCAGACAAAAGATACTGAAAATTATTACAACACCTCATATTTAGAATTTGAAATTTAGTTATTTAGTTGGTCAACAAAAACCAATTAAAATTGCATTTTATATAGTTTGTAGAATTAAGTTAGGCTCTCAGGGTTACAATAAATTGTTGAAACACTTTTTTGGCAATTTTAAAGGCAAATATTGACTTATTTAGTTCATTTTATTGTGTGAAAACTTTCTTTCTTCACTTTTCTAGTTCAGGAAAAACAGATTTGACCGAACTAGCAATAAGTAATTTATTCCCATTAGAAGTTTCCCCTTTCTCCGACCAGTTCATTAAGATCTGAAGTACGGAAATATCAGAAGGAGGTGTTATTTTTTAAAAAAGTGAAATATCCTTTACATCAACAGATTGATGGAAATTCATCCGTGTCTAAACATAGATTATTAACAAGACTGCTCGTATCAGGGCAAAGCCCTGAATGTTCTCGACTACCTGTTAAGGTTTATGGAGCAGTAATAACATGAAAAATCTAAATGTAATAAAAAAAATTAATTTTTTTTTCTTAAAAAAATTTGAGATTTTTTTGTAAAAAAATTTGAGATTTTTTTGTAAAAAACATCACCCCCACACGCCACATTAAGCACAAAGTGATGGATTTTGCTCCAATTAACAAATCAAATATGGCATATAAGCTTACTTGAACCAATTTGGAACGATTTCTAAGACGAATTAAACCTCGCTTACGCGTTAATAGAGCGAAACATATCGCCCGTTAATTGTCCCAAATCGGCCAAAATGGCCAAAATGGCAAAGTTCAAACCCCCATAACTTTAGAAAAAATAATCACAGGGGAAATATTTATTTGAATTCAAGCTTAGGACAGCAAAAGCTTCCGTTGTATTCCGCTACTATTCTGTTACTTTCGTTTCAAAAGTCGGAACAATACCGCCGTAAATAAGCACTCAAAAAATTCCGTTACTTTCGTTGCGAAAGTCGGAACAATACCGCCGTAAATAAGCACTCAAAAACTTCTGTTACTTTCGTTACGAACGTCGGAACAATACCGCCGTAAATAAGCACTCAAAAAACAATTTTTGAATGAGGACATTTTTCAAAAATTGAACTCAGTGCAAAAAAAACGCTTTTTTGTAAATATATATTTTTTGGCTCCTATAAATTTTAATTCACCATGTTATCCACCATCAGCTCAGGGATTCAACCCCCTGCCGACCGAAAGGGTCCCCATAAACTATTTTGAGATATTCATTTTTGGCTGACTGAACCTAAAACTTTTCTAAAGGTTCCTATGGCGCCAAAATATAGTACTTTTGAGGGGGGGGGGGGGGGGGGGCTGTTTGTTTTTAAAAAAATTGCCTGCGGTGCAGCAAATTTGGTTAAAATGAGTTCCTTATAGTGATTTGGAAAATGATTTTGGTCAAAAAAAAGTTCGACAAAATCCTAGATGCGCCCCTAATGCTAACCAAGAAAAAATTTGAGCAAACCTAAACAGTGGCTTGGTGTTTGGTGTGCGGATTTTCCAAAAAATCAAAACATTTGTCAATTTCTCTTGTTTTTAGGTCGACCAAATTGATTTTCGGAGTTCAAATTAATAGAAAGACCTCATTTTGACCAAACTTTGTTGCACTAAACTTTTAGATCTTTGAAAAAGCGGCCAAAAAAGCGTTTTTAGTTAATTTTTTTTTTAAAATTTGGACCAAAAAATGCATTTTTTTCAGCGCGCTCTCCCCCTTCAAAATTATTTTATTTTGGCGCTAAAGGCGTCTTAAAAAATTTTAGGGCCAGTCAGCCAAAAATTAATATCTCAAAATAGTGCATAACGGATGAAACTTACTTCAATGATGAGCAAATTTTTCTCAAATTGGGATAGGATAAATTTAGACAAAAAATGATGAAGACAGAACTTGTTTAGAATTTTAGCATTGTTTTTTGAAATTCAGGCCCAAACCTTTACTCCATAACCAGTCATTGTTGGCTTTTTTTAGTTAATCAAAATGTACACCAGAAGAACCAGATTAATTGCGGACATTACTATACCAAAGACCAAAGTAAGCCTCTTGAGTAACCCATCAAAATTTTAGGATGCTGAAATCTCCAAAAAGTTTGAGCAAAAGTTTTAAAATTAATTTCAATTAAACAACTGTTGTTTTATGTCGTGAAAATAACGGATTTTGGCTAATTTTATTCATACAAAACTTCAAAGATTGCATCATTTTAAAAACTGAATGGGCTACAGGAGAGGAGCATTTTGCTATAATTTGCCAGTAATTGATCCGCTAATTTTGCCATAACTTTTAAAAAACCAAAAATGATGAAGCCATGTGAAGCAAATATTTTTTCAAGTCAATAATAAAGTGCAAAAATACTTTAAATTTTAGGTTAAATTTTAAAAACGTTGGAAATTGTTTTGATGCTTCATTTAGCGCGATACAAAAACATAGGGTCTTTTCAATGAAGTTTTTTTAACAGCAAGAATACAATTGGGTGTTTTTAATATTAGAAGGAGCGCTAAATCGAGGAGCGCTAAAATTGATTTGGGTCACTGAAAAAGCTTGAAAACTTTTACTGTCCATTCACTTATAATTACCTAGCTCAGGTGAATAGCGTGTAGGTGGACAAAAATATTTATTAAAAAATATAAACTAAACTTTTTTTTTCATATTCAATAACATTGTTTTTCATATATATTTTTTTATAAAATGATTTCATTGTTTCAAGTTTAACGTCAAGTTCGAACATCTGATGTAGCACTCATATAAGCAATTTTTTTAAATTCGTTATCAGACGCTAAATGTTTCTTCCTGTGTTTTCCAGAGCATGTGCGTTGGTAAACGGAAAAACGACAGAAAATTTTACGTTTTGTTTTTTTTTGGACGTTTTATCAATCTTTTTGAATCATTTATTTCCACCATGACGTTAAAAAGCAGTCTCAACATTCAGGGTTTTGCCTTGATACAATCACTTTCGATAAAAAAGCATGTAACATTTGGAATTTGCCATGCTCGAAATTTTTACATTTGATGTTTAATGTTTTCTTGACTCAAACCATTTTAAGTCACTTTTTCAATAAATGAGTTTAATTCACTAGTGAAATCAATAAAGTTCGTTTCAATTTTGATTTTCATTTGTGCAGTAAATAAGAAAAAAAATTATTGCCAAAATTTTCGAAATAAACGAAATTTTGGCTGAAAATTTTGTTGACTTGGTTGATGTTTTGATTGACATTGACATTGAGTTGCCCTGGCATTCAAAAAACTGAAAGCTGCGCTCAATATTATAAAACCGTCGATTAATTTCGACTTATCAAAGAGTTGGAAAATAAGCTTTTTAATAGAAATTGATGATTTTATGCAGATGTTATCTTATCGATCATGCTAAATTTCGCAGAATTGGTTAAATTTGCTTTTATCACAACACTTTGCTGTTAGAATATGCTAGAGACAAAATGAGTCTGTTTTGCTTCAGATATAAATCCGTGCTTGGCAAGTTCCACGACCGACCGTATCGAAATTCAGCAATCAAGATCTCCCAATCGGCTGCCGACGCCGTCAAATGTAGCAAGCACAAGTTCAGCTCAGTATATGAACTTCAACAACAACCAAGTCAGTGACAACAATAACACAAACAACAGCAGCAACAATAATCCGGGCAATATTTTGGCGCACGTGTTTCTGCAGCTATATGCCAGTGTTGTTAGTATCAGCTGTTGGGTATGCTTCACCCCATTTTACAATATGAAGTTTATCCAGAGTGTAGATGCAATGACTGGCTTGCACGTGTACCACTGGATCAAACCGACCGGAGTTGGAACCTACATCGACCGGACTGCAATAGCTCTGACTCATTTGAACTCCCTAATCAACCCAATGCTATTTGTCGGGTTAAAATTATACATGAAACACAGCCAGGAGCAACGTGCACTAGGTAACGCAAATGCAGTCATGATGAACCAAAGGAAAATCAGCGCCGCCGCTCGGTCGAAAAAGCTTTCAAACACTCGATCTAACACAGAGAGAGGATACAAAGGCGAAGCTGCAGTGCTGGAAGAGCGTGATGCAATCAGCCCTTTGCGAAGTATGGACGAAATAAGCACAAGTTTCTACAACAATAGTGAACAAACTGAGGCGTGAAAAATGGATATATTCACCGAATAGTCAAAACCGGGTCCGAAATACTAGTTTTCTATTTATGTTTTTTTTCCGTTGTGCTACATACGTTGTTCGTTTTAGAAGTGCATGTCAAAAATTACTATACGCAAAGTCTGAATGTTTTTCTCCTAATATGATTCATGAAACAATTATTTCGCAAAGATTGAAAAGGTAAATATGCTCCAAAAATCAATCAACTACTGTGCTTAATTTATAGTTTTAAGTTGAAAGTCAAAAAACACCTCAGATCTACACCTTTTTCCAGAGGCAAAGCTTGGAAAAGCTTGAAGGACTTCTGAATTCTGATAGAACATTTTATAGTTCTTGTTAATGGATTACGCCTATTTTTGGAAGTAAAACAAATAACACGAATATAACACAAAAGCGTGACAAGAAAAATTAAATCATTTATAAAAAAAGCCCTTGTAGCCAAAAAACAAGCTGCAGCGAAGAGAAAATTTTTTAAACGAGTTCTTAGTTGTAATATGAACATGGCTTAAAATAAACTCAATTAATTAGTTTTGGAACTAATTTTTAATACTTCAGAATTTCTGAGAAAACGGTAATCGTTTAGAAGTTTGGTCCCGTCAAAAAAATGTTATAGACAAAACAGACAAAATTAGATAGACAAGGCAATATAGATGACAACTCTCGATTTTTAACTGAATACCTATTGAAAATATGTACAAAACAGTTGTTAAAGGCCTCTTCTGAGTTTTTCCAAATTGATACCAAGTTTTTCCAAATTGTTACCAAATTTTTCCAAATCCGTTGCTATGCTCATCAAGCATTGTGGATTGAACACACTGTATGGATCAAACGTTTTTCTTACAGTTTTTCCGCATTTTTTCAACATTGCTTTTGTGTCTTCTTGTCACCGGTTTACAAAATTGAAGGAAAGAGTTAACTCGATTATTGAAATTTGGTTGTAAGTTTGCCATTCGTTCAACTTACTGTTTATTCCAGGAAAAATGAATTTTTGTGGAATTCGCTTATATTTTGCGGAATCAACTTACATTTGCGGAATCCGGAACAACTAGCTATGTTTGCCACTCGTTGTGGATTCCGCGACAAAACTAATGTGCCGCCAAACCGTAGAACATTTTTGAAAACTTGTCTCTGGAATCCAGAGACCTACATACACCAAATTTTGCGCCTAACCAGAACACAGTTTGTGTAAATAAACATCAAAAACACCCATTTTGTTTCGGGGGCAATTTCAAGATAAACTCGCCAGGATTGTTTTTCTCGACCAGGATTGTTTTCTCTTTGATATAAGTGACTCCTCGATGTGCACGTAAATGCCAATTCCAACACTTTGAATGTAGTGTTCTATGGCAAAAAAAAACAGTTGAATTAGACAAATTTATCACTGAACCCTCAAAACACGAGTAAGATTAGCGCAGCCCACAAATGAAAAAACATGATGAACTTTTTAAACTCGAAATGAGTTTTTCAAGAAAAAAATCCAATTTCTGATTAATCATATTGATATTTATGGTTTTGGAATCGCTAAATTGTCATTGGCAGATTGTTTTTTTTTCCGATATGGGCAAGATTGCAAATTTGACACGTCGGGGCGATAGATTTGATGACAAGTTTCTCTCATTTTTTATGCCGTTTGAAATTTGTATTCGTAGGTTGATTTTTTAGAACTCCATTTTCGTTAAGAAATTTTTACAAAAAAATTTTCTAACGTTTTTTGTTTGTTTTGTCAACTCAAAAACAAATAACTTTTGTTTTCTTCAATCGAAATATTTTTTAGTCCAACTGAAATACTGGTTTTCGATTTCGTTCATTTGATATACATTTCATGTGGTATGGCGATAACACACTTCTAAAAAAAGCTTTTTGAATGGGTCTGTTGCTTTTTGTATTTTGAAAGGGAAAACTTTACTCCTTAAGACGAAATTTTGGACTTGACAAAATCTCGTTTTATAAATTAAAACTTATCAGAGTAGTGAAAATGGTATTTGACTTTACTCTGGAACACTAAGCTCCATGAGGAAATGATCTCCTCGTTTTTCTAGCCTCATATGCTTTGCGAAAAAAGGCTTAGTTTTCACTCATCCAAACTCATCATTGTAACAAAAAGTTCCATATCTCCACACACTAAGGAAAAAATTGTCAGCTTGTTTGGTAACCGATGTTTCGTTTTCTTTATTTGAATCAACTAAGGAATTGGATTTGACTGGATCAATTGAGGTAATGTCAACCACAGTTTGATCCAAAAACAAGTAAGGTTTTCACAAATTACTCCAGATTTTAATTCAAATGAAAAAATTTCTTAAATTATCCAACAAAATTTAATAAATACCTTTTTCGAAAAGTTTTTGCATTTGACTTTGTACTCAACCTTTCACTTGATTAACTTTCATTTCGCAATTTCAAACACAAAAATATATTTTTTTTTCACTGGTTGATTGACTATATTTGATGATCTTTAAATTGACATTGAAACATGTTTTGTAACCAAACAATTCTTTATCTTACTGTTGTCCTTCATGAACGCAAGTGGATTTAAATTGCGAGACTGCTAGGTGGTTTAGCTTTTTGAAATTTTTTGGAAATGGAATATTGACTTTTCACAGTTTTTACATAAGGTTTTTTTTGAGTTCATTTGTTGTCTGCGTAAATAAATCTGATTCATTCTATGTATCTCAGGACGTTTTTGTTGAAAGTATCAGATTTTTATGGCAGAAATTTTCTTAACTAGGACAGCGAAAACACATGAGGAAGCTCTGAAAATGTTTAGTTTGAGCCATATGTGATTGCTGAATTTTAGCAAGTTGGCTGATTCAAAAGAACTCTTAATCAAGCAAATTATCCTAGTTGTTACTCGTTTTGAAAATCAAGTCAAAATAAAAAAATGTTTTTATGAATATTTTTTTTCAACAAGGGGCATTTCTTCAATGAAAGTTTTCAATGTCATCACCAGATTTTGAAATTCTGAAAATGTTAGGAGGCATGCGAGTTTGGATCAATTTGTTCACCACGTATATGACTTTTGCACGGAAGAGATACAAATTATATTTTCAGAGTTGCTTGTTTTTATTCGACAAAATACAATTAATAGTTCCAATTTCTAGCAAACTTTTAGATTAATTAGAGTCGGGACAACCCATGGTAATCAATTAAATTAAATATCAACATGAACATTAATTTTGTATTCTGGCGTTGTTGAGTGCTTTGCTACACAATATCAACCGTTTCATGGATGTTAATCGAAATCTGTTTTTAGCTCACTGCAAATAGGGTTTTCAGTTAAAACAATGATCTCATGGGCAGAAAAGTATCGATATTTACCAGTCTGATTTTTTTGAAGAACGAATTTCAATGCAATATAGAGTTTTGCAGCAAAATCCAGATTGTTGAGTACTTCGAGTTTTTCTTCAAAAATGCTGAGATTCAACAATCAGATGCTTCATACGAACAATATTGATAATTCTTTCAAGTGCTTTATGTTGATCTAATTGCGACACTTATTTCCAAAGTCAGATCACGTCAACTACATCTCTTCAGACAGGAGGACCGAGTCAGACACATTTACCAAAAGAACTTAATGAGTTTTTATACCAAGTTGAGCATTCTTAACGGTTGGGTAAGACAGTGCCGAAGTAAGAGAGTGCCGAAAACAAAAATTTGTTAACGAGTGCCGAAAATGAAAGAAACTGACTTATTTGTCGTGAACTAATTGAGAAAAGAAAAGAAAGTTTTGTTTGCTCATCGATTTTGGCGCCAAAATTGAGTCTGAACAAGTTTCAAGTGTCATTATTAATTTTCCCGCCAAAAGCTAGCCTCTTAAATTGCGTTCCAATATTTCCCGCCTTTTTCGGCACTCTCTAACTTCGGCACTGTCTAACGCCCCCTTCTTAACTAGGGTGCTGATGTTGTAACTCAAGTATTTTGGGAGATCAACAAGTCAGATGAAAAAAATCTTTCATTCAAAATTATAATTGAAAGTGAAAATTCTGACGTAACTTTCATGGCTACTTCAAATTTTCTTGGGAAACAAAAGTTAAGACACAAACAAAAAATAAATAGATATCTACAAATATGTACATTACCCAAATTATTAAAAATAGATCAACAGTTTTCTTTACCTTGGAAAGTGTACGCATTCGTAGCTGTCTTTGTTAACATTCTCATGATTAAAATTTTATTGCAGCTATCATTTTCACGCCATAATCTTCCCTTTAACGTATGTTTTTTGTGGGAAAAATCACACTTTCTCTTTGTATATGTTGATCTCCTTTATTTATGTACGGCATCAGACCCTTGTAAAAATTGCTCAACATAAAGATAGCAGCAGCATGAGTTCTACCCATTACTGAAGTTTTACATTCCTCATTCAGTTAACTGGTAACAAATGACAGAGCGTGAGAATCTAGTGATAATAGGAACCAACATAATCAAGTTAACCATTCAGATTAACCAAAAAAATAAGCAGATGCGAACATCACATATTCAATACACCGACAATTGATACAAACAAGCCAACTACATAACAACAAACACTAAAAACGATCCATCGAACACAGTTACCGTAATATTAAATCCGAAACCTAACGTAAATTCAGAAACGATTGGATTTAAAACCACAAATTCATGTTATCCAAGACTTTAGAGCAACGACTTCACTTATTTTGTGTTAAAAAATTGAAAGTCGAGGACTCCTTGAGAGTGGACTTTGTGATCATTGCAGAGTTTTGTGATCATAGCAAAAAGTTCACATTGATGCCTTAAACGGCCGTATTCGACGGATATCGCCGCAACAACAAATCGCGAGCTCCGTGATATTGACGATTTACCATTTTTTGCCACCAATGAAGACATTTGGTTGCCGGAACCGCAACTTTTTGTGAGATATCACTAAATAAAACTTTTCACGGATTCCGTCTACTCATAAGTCAAAACATGCTCCGCAAAATTGACCTATTAAATTTTGAAATGATTTTCAAAAGTCTGTTTTTTTATCTATAGAACTTTGAAAGAGATGAACTTAATAATCCAACGACTTTAGCGTTGCAGTGTTATATTTCAATGAGCAAATCAAACTTCATTTCATACCTTTCAGTAATAACAGTAACACAATTTTTGATCACTTAACAAAAACTCAGCAGCTTCTGCGATGTAAATTTTACTGAGAAAACTCATGGCTTGGAGCATGAGTTCATAACATTTTCTTTAAAA